AAAGGACCTAGGTTCAGTTCCCAGCACCCACATGGCAGCTAACAACCACCTGTAACTCCAGTTCCAGGGGATTTGATGTCCCTTTCTGACCTCCATGGGCATTGCACAACATGGGTGTACTTACATACATGCAGGCAACATACTCATATATATAAAAAAATTAATAAATAAAATATTTAAAAATACAGCACCATATTTGTGAGGAGCAACTAAACCCTTTAAGGGAGATTTATGTATTAGATTTTTGCATTTGGGGAAAAAAATGTCTGGCATGTTTGTCCTCTGAGGACACATCACATGCGTGGATGACAAGTGTGTCTGCCTTAGGTACATCGAATATGTGTGTGACATGGTGGCAGAGGAGCCCATCACTCCCCATAGCAAGCCAATGCTGGTGAAAGCCATCATCATGACTCCTGTACCACTTTTCAGCAAGCAGAGGAATGGCTGCCGACCCTTCTGTGAGGTCTATGTGGGGGAAGAGCGTGTAACCACCACATCCCAGGAGTATGATAGGATGAAGTGAGTACGGATTTGGGATATCACATCCCTTGGTGTTCTGAGTCCTCTGGAAACCTCTGAAGCAGAAGCTGCCTTGTGTTCTGATTGACATGTGCTGGGTGCAGATGGCTGCCTGTTGGAATGAGTGTGCAGAGGAGGAGGGGGGTTCTGGTTTGGTTTCTATTGCTGTGATAAGACACTGACCAAAAGCAAGTTGGGGAAGAAAGGGTTTGTTTCATCTTACTCTTCCAAGTGACAGTCCATCACTGAAGGAAGTCATGGCAGGAAACTAGAGGCAGGAACTGAAGCACAGACCACAGAGGAATGCTGTTTATTGACTTACTTCCCTGGTTTGTGTTCAGCCTGCTTATTTATACAAACCAGGACCACCTGCCCAGGGGTGGCATCACCCTCAGTGAGCTAGGCCCTCCCATGTCACTCAACAATCAAGAAGATGCCTCACAGCCATTGGCCATGGTCCAGTTTAATAGAGGTAATTTCCAATTTGAGGGTTCCTTTTCCTAGGTGTGTCAGGTTGACAGCTGAAGCTATCCAGCTCAAGGGATGTGTGTGCTTCTTGAAGGAAATAATTCTGCCAGTAACAAACCACAAAAAGGCATGGATTCAAATGTTGAGTTCTTTAGAAGAACTTAGAATTCTTGTCCCCCCACCCCCTTTTTTTAAAACTTGTGTAAACCAACTTCTGTTCTAGGGAATTTAAAATTGAGGATGGCAAGGCAGTCATCCCTTTGGGCATAACAGTTCAAGGGGACGTACTTATCATCATTTACCATGCCAGATCAACCTTGGGAGGGAGACTACAGGCCAAGGTGAGTGCAGCTGGAGCCATTCACTGTGTGGTTTGGCCTCTGGTTTGGGCCCAGTGGGTCGTAAGTTGTCCCATAAGTGTTGCCAGTCCCCAGTGCTCCTTTAAGTGGCACAGGGCAGAGAGAATGTTAGCCTGAAAGGTCCAGAATTTCCCTGTGAGCAACAGCTGTAGTCTCCATGAAGGGCTGTTGTGCTACTTGGACCTCTCCCGCCACCACTGTTTTGGCCTCTGTGCAGGCATCTTCTCAGCTGTCTCCCAGCATTTGGCAGGAGGTACCAGCCTTGTCACCCTAACTGTCCTGTGCCTTGAGTGGTATGTAAGAAAAACAGATTGTCAGACTCCATTTACCTGCTGTTGTTCTTGGGGAAGAACTCTGATCCAGGGCTGGGATGCACTCTTAATGGATCTCCTACTGGTCTTACAGATGGCGTCCATGAAAATGTTCCAGATCCAGTTCCATACCGGGTTCGTGCCTCGGAATGCAACCACTGTGAAATTTGCAAAGTATGTTAGTATTGTACTGTGCTGCTATTGGAGAGGGACAGGTACCCAGAACTACTGACTGAACACATGCACATGGGTTAGTCCAGAAAAAGGCTGGTGAATGAAGCCTGCTGCATGACAGCAACTGTGACACTGGACCTAAGCCCTGGGACTGCCTGGAGCCATCATGGGGCTGAGACTTCTCCAGGGGTCCAAGTGGCTTCTGTGTTGCATCCTGATGTCTTTGGACTGACCTTGTGCATTTCTAGTTAGAGTTTAGTGAGTTAAATCTAGATGTGGTGTAACCAGTGGGTGGGAAATTTTACTCTGTTCATGCTGTATGCACAGAGCTCTGCTGGGCACTAAGGTTGGAGGTAATATGCTAGCCCTGCCTTCTAGAAGCTTGGCCTGCTTTTAGAGACAAATATACAGACAAGCACAGCTGAGGAATAATCCTCTAGGCTGACTAATCACATACAGGTCACTATTGCAGATATTGGATGCCAGTGATTTGCCCTAGCCCATAGTAGGCAGCAGGTATCACTCACCTATTGCGATGGGAACGCTCAAGGCTGCTGGCATGACCTATACGCCGCATTTTCAGATTCAGGTGTGTGGGTCTTACTGATAGTCTCTCCCCTCCATCAAGCATACTTTCAGCCCCAGAGCAGAAAGGAGTAGGTGTTCAGGAGTAAACAGAGAGTTGCCAGGGCTTAGATGGCTCTCAAGCTATGCTACCAGTCACATAGTTCTTGTTCCCCACATTACAGGGAAGCACTAGATAGGGCACAGGGTCACAACATGAGAAGATGGAGGCTAGTGTGGTGACTGATTAGGTGCGTGTTTGCGCACACACTTAATCTCTCTTAACATTTGTGCCTCCTTCGTGTTGGTACTCGGACTCTTTCTTTGAGACAGGATCTCTTACTCTGTAGCCTAGGCTCATACCTACTGTGTAACTTCAGGCTAGCCTAGAACACATGGCACTCCTGCCCCAGGTTCCCAAGTGCTGGGATTATAGGCACCCCACTCTTTCTTGCAAGCTGGAAGCTTGGGCAGTTTTCAGCCATGTTTAACTTTAAAAAAAAAAAAAGACCAGCCAGGTGTGGTGGTGCATGCCTTTAATCCCAGCACTTGGGAGGCAAAGGCAGGCAGATCTCTGTGAGTTCAAGGACAGCTGGGGCTACAGAGAGACCCTGTCTCAGAAAGATCCCCCCCAAAAAAAATGAGGGGCTAGAGAGATGGCTCAGCAGTTAAGAGCACTGTCTGTTCTTGCAGAGGACCCAGGTTCAATTCCTAGCACCCACATGGCAGCTAACAGAGACCCTCTTCTGACCTCCATGGGCATTGCACAGCACAGGTACACTTACATGCATGTAGGCAATATACTCATAAAGTAAACATAATGAAAATAAAATATTTTTTTAAAAAAAGACCAAATGAGCCGGGCGTGGTGGTGCATGCCTTTAATCCCAGCACTTGGGAGGCAGAGGCAGGTGGATCTCTGTGAGTTCAAGGCCAGCCTGGTCTACACAGTGAGTTCCAGGACAGCTGGAGCTACAGGGAGGCCCTGTCTCAAAACCACCAAAAAAAAAAAAAACCTAATAACTGAAGAAAATACATGTCAAAGATCTATGTGATTTAGATACTGTAGTTAAGCAAAGAGTTTTAAATAATTTTGATTGTATTGCTATTTTTTGAATGTCTCCACCAAAACTTATGCTGGAATTTAATCACCATTGGGAGACATTAAGAGGGCAGGGGACTGGGCATGGTGGCATATACCTTTAATCTCAGCATTCCAGCACTTGAAAGGCAGAGGTAGGTGGAGCTCTATGATTTCAGGCCAGCCTGATCTACATAGCAAGCTCCAGGCCAGCCAAAGCTGCATAGTGAGATCCTGTCTCAAAGGGTGGGGCCTTCATCTGACTATTATGGGGGGGTCCATCCTTTGGGAGGCAATTAAGGTTAAATGAGTCAATGAGGGTAGGGCCCCCCCCCCCCGCAATCCATTGGGACTATGACTTTATAAAAGGAAGAGGCGAGGTCTGGGCTAGGACAGTGTGTCCATATGATGCCTAGTGCCACCTAGGGACTCTGAGCCATTGCCAACTAGAATCCCTCTCCATATACAGCCATTAGTTCAAACCTCCCTTCCTTCAGACCCATGAGCAACATAAGGCTTTATTCTCTGTAAATCAGTCATGGTGTTCTGTTACAGCAACAGAAAATGGATCAAGACAGCATAATCAAGAAATCAGAGGGAAAGGTGGGGGATTTCAGCAGACCTGAAACAAGTGACGACAGACAGGTGTGAATTCTAGAACTGAAAAATAGCATAACTGAAATGAAGAATTCAGGAGATGGGTTGGCAGCAGAACAGACACAGTAGATTATAAAGAATGTCTTCTTCAGGGGAGATGAAGGAAGACTAGACCTGAAAAGGCAGATAGACGCCAGGTCTGCAAAGAACAGATCCAGCTCCTAGAAAAGCAGCAGGCATCTCCTATGCCAAGGAGACATCAGGACTGTATATAACACACCGGGTTTTCCAATAACAAGAAGAGAAACCCCTGCCTCAGAGCATAATTACATTGCTGAAAGCCAAAGACAATTCAAGAACCTGGTGGGTAGATGTCATGTTCTCCATAGTGACAAGGCTAACATCTGGTAGTGATCTGAAGGCCCAGAGTCCAGAAGTCAGTGGAATAACATCTTAGGAGTGATGGAAGAAAAGTGTAGGAATTCTGTATCCAGGGAAACTACCCTTGTACAGTATGATCCACTTAACAAAAGTTTTCAGGAGAACAGGGTGGAACAGTTTATTGTTGGCCAAATGGCAGCATTTCATGAAGCATCAAAAGGCAGACAGAAAAGTCTAGAAGCAGCCTAAAACTAGTTAACAAGATATGAGGAAGATTGGGAAGCTCACATTAATGGGTAAAATTGACACATGCCGGTTATGCATTATCATGAGCTTTCAGATTATTTGTATTAAAATACATGACAGTAGCACCAGAGTCTGGAGAAGTGACCAGTGGAGCAATCTCCTTATTAGACTTTGAAGCCTAGAAGTCAGCAATGTGCCAGTGCAGACTGAAGCAGGTCTAGGGAGTATGTTGTAGTCCTATAGAAAGATAGAAAGAGCTACTAGAGGAGAAGAAAAAAACGCAACACAAAGTATATGGTTAATCCAGATAAAGTCAGAGTGGAGAAATAAAGAAATAGCCCTGGAAGAGAGGGACAGAAAGCAAGCAGCACTCTGGCAGACTCACCCCCACCCAGTATATGGCGGCCTTCATGCTGAGTGAAAGTAGACAGAACAATCCACGTGAAAGTAGATGCTGCCAGGCTGATTAAACAACCCAACTAGAAAAACCTTAAGTGTGTAATTTACAAGAGCCGTGCTTTTAAAATACATGTGAAGACCAAAAAAGCCGAAATGTAAGTGCTCGAGTAGTGCTTACCACACGAAGATGAACAAGAAGAGAGCTAGTGTGTCACTTAAGTGACCAGCAGTGAAAACATGAAGTGCTTTGAGAGACAGCAGCGCTGTGTGCTGAAGGCCAGTGAGGTGATAACAGACCGACCACCCAGCAGCTTCAGGCATGTGGGATGAACCCATGCTATTGTCATTTCTTTGGCCAGCAAAAAAAAATTAGGATATAGATCTTTTTTTTTTTTAAATACATTGACCTGAGTTTTGCACACTTCAAGAAACTGAAAGAGAACAGATTTCTCTTGTTTAAAGTTCTAGTATATGGTACTATTGCACAAGTTTGAGGGACACGTCAGAGCACAGCAATATGTTTTATCTGAGTATTCTAGCTACACAAGCTTGCATTAAGGCAGTGTTCTGACAAGCATGCATGTATAGCAGGATTGCTTTGCATTGTCAGCTGAACTAGTTGTAGAGAGAAATTGGGAACATCAGTGGCCATGCACCTTCAGATGAGCCTGAGCGGGTCAGTCCCATTTCTAGAATGGGACTCAGAGCAGCCCTGAAGTGTCCTGTGATTGAGTGAAAGTCCCAGAAGGATTTCAGTACTCTGTGCTACAGTCATGATACAAGTTTACCAGCTACATTTGTGAGAAGCCCTTTTTTTACTGGCCATGCTAGTGCTCAATCACCAGGGCTTGTGAACTGTGTCTTAAAGTACAGCTCCCAGCCCCCTGCTCACACACCCTCATTGTGCCCTCACCACCCTGCTGGCTGGGCTGGGCAGTCTCATGAGTGGCTGGACGGGGAAGCTAGAAATGAGCTGTGCCCAGAGCTGTCATCAACCTCTGTAAGAGGCTGAGCCTGCCGAGTGTATACAACATCTCCGAGGGCCCTCCTGCCTTGCCCTCCATCTTCCTCACTGATGGCAAGTCTCAACCTTTCCTCACTGTAGCCATCAGCTACATTAGCTGTTCCTGCCTAATGGTGTTCCTTCCCAACTATAGGGTTCAGGTAGGGGAAGTTCCAGTGGTAGCCTTCTTGCTCTGTCCTGTCCCATTTGCAGAGCATTGCCTCCTGGGCAGGCAGGAATGAACCAGGTCTTAAACATCACAGCCGCACCTGCACACCTCTTTTATAATAGTAAGAAGCAAACTGAGCCATTGCTTTGCCACCTAAACCACCACCCTGATGGCCTTCTCCAGCTTTCCTCGCACAGTGGCATTGGGACCTACAACCACACAGATTCAGAGAAGCCCTTGGGGCCTGGAGTAGGTGGCCACCTTTGGTACCTAGGGTCCCCTGAGAATGGGCTACCACTGCTGTATGTGTTTCTTAGTTTTTGTTAGCAGCAGTGTTGGTGATAGGTACAAAACTTAGTATGATATATGGAGATACTAAGTAGCAAATGGGGTTATGAAACCAGAGTATAATGGTGGCTCTGGAGTCTAAGGAATGTAAGATTCCTTATAGCATTGTGGAGCCACCAAACGGAGATAGTTCCTAAAAATGACCACCAAGTTACTGTCTGTTAGGTGGACTGGCTCAGCCTCCCCATTCCCCATGCTGCCAAGCAGCTGCTCCTATAGTGTCTGGAGACCCTACAATCTGTTCCCCACTCCTGCTTCCTGTCTGCCTTTGTTTCCCACAGCCCAGGTTGCCTCCCTGGGCCTCCAGTAAGTGTTGTTCCCAACCCTTAGCAGCCAGTTTTCCGATAATAGCTGTGATTTTTACCAAGTGCACATTTTTGTAAAAATGCATTTAAGATTTTAAAGAATCTAGTCTGAGCCAATCAAATGTCTGCAGTGTGTGTCTAGTTGGGGTTGAGGGTAGCAGGGCCTAAATGTCTATTGGGAGACAGGGGGCTGCTTTGTAGGGCCTGCTTGCCTGGGTGTAAGATCCATCCTGTTCTACGCTGGTCACTCTGAGCACCTGACCTCCTATTGCCTTGGAACACAGGGATTTAGCCTAGCGTTCTTCCACATTAACAGCCAGGAAACTAGGAGAATTGGGCAGTGATCCTGGGTGTATCAACCCTGCTGTGGCCACCCATGTCCCATAGGCAAGGATGACTGCATGTGTCCACTGCTTCACCAGCAATCTTCTTCCCATTTATGCCAAAGGACTTGTGATCTACCCTGGCTGTACTCATCCATGCCCTCTTGGTACCTGCAGGTATGACCTGGACGCTTGTGACATTCAGGAGAAATACCCAGATCTGTTCCAGGTGAACCTGGAGGTGGAGGTGGAGCCTAGAGACAAGCCTACCCAGGAAGCACTACCCTGGGAGAATGCCAGCCTAAGGGGGCTAAACCCCAAGATCCTGTTTTCCAGCCGGGAAGAACAGCAGGACATGCTGTCTAAGTTTGGTAAGGTGTCCTGGCTCCCAGGATACTAGCAGGGAACCAAGTTCCAGGGACTGTCACGTCTGAGAAAGACCTAAACGAGTAGAGCTCTGCACAGGGCTAGGTAGTACCACTCTCCCTGTCTTGGGCACCCACACCTGCTCTGTACTTACCTAGGGGCTGTAGGACATGGCAGAAACTTCCACCTTTTACAATCTCAAGGCCCTTTCATGGGTGCACAAGCCATACCCCACACCTGGGTCACCTGACCTGCGCCCGGCAGGAAAGTGTGATCTTTTCTGCTAAGCCAAAACAACCTCAGTACCATAGAGTGAGGCGATATTGTCTTCTGAGCACATGAGCTCTGGATCTACTTTTCACTGATAAGCTGGGGCTGGATGTAATCTGGGAAGGATTTCCTTCAGAATTAGCTTGTACCAGTTACTGACTCAGGTTGTATGCTCTGGACACACCATTAAAATGTGACCTTGAGGGTGGGATGTTCTACTTTAGGACCTTTGACTTTTGGCAGCTACTGCCCCACTCAGCATAGGTGTCTCCTGCTTATGTCAGATCAGTTCCAATAAAATTAGAATGCCTAAGGTCAGGCTTTACTGCCTGCTGCTTATGGCGTCTCTAATCTGGGTTTGCACACTTTGCTTTTTTTTTTTTAATCTGAGGGCAGTCAAGTATTCCTAAAAGGGATGCGTATGTTTGCATGTAAGTGGTGTGTGCTCATATATGTGTGTGCCTTGTTTGTGCATGTGTATGGCACAGCATCTGAATGGAAAGACAGTGGGTATCTGCTTGCAGTCAGACTTGGTATTCTTAGGTGACTGTTACAGGTGTCCCCAAGGCCTGGCCTGCCCTGCTGCTCTGGCTGTGTCTTGCCCAAGATTGTGGACTGGCACAAATAGCCTGATGCCAGCCCTCTCCTGGCAGGGAAGCCGGAGCTCCCCCGGCAACCAGGCTCCACAGCTCAGTATGACGCTGAGGCGGGGTCTCCAGAGGCTGAGATCACAGAGTCGGAATCACCGCAGAGCAGCGGCACGGACACCAACCACTTTCTTCACACGCTGGATTGGCAGGGTAGGCCTAGGGCACAGCTAATCCTGCATCCTTCCATGGGATCCAATCTGTCACATGGCCCTGAGCTCCTTAGACACTACTAGCTGCTTGCAAGCATCAAGGCTTTGTCACCACACAGGTGCAGCATTCTTTGAGAACCATGTGCTAAGTACAGGTGCTTAAAGTAAACCTTATGGGGATGGACAGAGTTGAGATCTCAGAGGGACTTCAGACCCCACACATTGGCCTGTTTGGGTAGGGGGAATTGTGTCCATGGGGATCAAAACCAGGGTCTCATGCATGTCAGACAAATGCTCCACCATGAGCTACACCCTTAGCTTTCTTTCTGGGTTGTTTGTTTGTTTGTTTGTTTTGGTCTTTTTGAGACAGGGTCTCCCTGTAGCCCCAGCTGGCCTGGAACTCACTGTGTAGACCAGGCTGGCCTCGAACTCACAGAGATCCGCCTGCCTCTGCCTCCCGAGTGCTGGGATTAAAGGCATGCACCACCACGCCTGGCTGTTTTCCTGGGTTTTAATGGCACACAAACTAAGCATAGTTCATATATTTTTCAAAGATAGAAATATGTACATACACATTTCTGTCCACAAAGCCTGAGGTATCAGCTTCATTCCATTATTGACTTGAAGTAATTTGCTGACCAAGTCCTTCCATAGGTAGTCTTACTGACAGGCCCAAGGGTTCTTGAGAAGCAGAGGAAGAGACTGAGTTAGAGGGATAACTGAATCATGGGTGATGGTCACATCCCACCTAGGAGTCCCTATATCTCTTAACTACCTCTGGCCTCCACTGGGTATCCTAGCTCCCTCCCATGCCTCATAGCTGCTTATGACAACTAAAAACCTAGACATCTTCACCTTGATCACTTGCCTCCCTGACACTCCAGTGTGCACCACTGCCACTCAGCAAGGGCATTTCCCAAAGGAGTGCTGTGATGTGTCCTTTTCTTGGCTGTGTTCAGAGATGGAGAGCATAGCAAGTGGACCTGTTAGAGACTGGACTCGGAGGGGCTGGGAGACAATCCCAGAACCTTATGACTTTCCCGTTTTTGGCTAGAGGCCAGTATGTAGGCACCAGAGTGGTCTGTGTAGCTCAAGCCTTGAGACATGTGCACTGAAGCCCCAGATTGACCCCTGAAGTGGGCACGGGAACCCTGGTGCTGCCTGTGGCTGCAGCCTGGACCATGCTGAGGCACCTGCATATGTCAGCTTGATCCAGTCTCCTACAGCTACCTAGTATGTGGATCAACCAACCAATGGTTTTCTCTTCACAGAGGAAAAAGAACCAGAGACTGGAGCAGACAGTACCTCTCCTAAGGAGAATCAGTCTGTCCTGATTACAGATAGAGATGGAAGTGAAGTGTCAGATGAAGAGGAGCCTCCATTCCCCAGTGAGGACAGGGAGCCAAGGGCCAGCGAGGACATGCCAAGCCTGGTAGCTGGGATCATACAACAAGACTTAATGTTTGATGCGGGCACACAGGCTGCCCCACAGGAGGCTGTACAGCAGGAAGAGGGTGTCGATCTTCTCGGGCTGCATTCCGAAGGGGACTTGAGGCCTGCTGCCCCATTGCAGGCCTATGGTGCCCCCTCCAGCAACGCTGACCTGTTGAGCTCCCTTCTTGTACCCTCTGATGTTGCTCAAGTGGGATCCCCTGGTGACCTGCTTGGTGCCGAAGCATCCCTGCTTCTGGGCGTACAGAGCACCCCACAAGGAGGAGCCCCTGCCACTGGTATGCACTTTGGTTCTGCAGAGAATTGGCTTCCTAGTAAATGAACAAGGTTTAGCCATTCCTGCCATGTAGAAAAAGGAGCATCGTTGTTATCTGGGCAACTGGAGGGAGGGAGCTGCCTTCTGCAGAAACTGCCTGCAGCTGTGTCAGTTTCCACTGGCCTCTGAGCTCACAGGGGTGATGTCCATGGGACAGTCCAGAGCTGCGGGCCATTGGGAGGGCCATGTGTCCCTGGGTGGGCTGCCAGATGGTCTGAGTCCATCTTGCTTTGTAAGCTGGAGGCCCAAGAGCAGGGCAGCAGGACTCCTAAAATATAGGCTGTGGCATAATGCTCGTCCCTGCTCTGACTGTCTCCTAGTGGACCCTTTTGACTCGCTTCTGCTACCTTCCAACTCTGATACTCAGCCGTGCTCCAAGCCTGATCTCTTTGGCAAGTTTCTCAACCCTGGCTGTGTGGCAGCCTCAGCTGCCTTCCCGTCTACCCACAGTGCTCCACCCCCGTCTTGCAGCACTGCTTTCCTGCACCTGGGTGAGTATAGCCACTGTGCATCTTCCATAGAAGCCATAAGCTTGTGCTTGGGAGAGCCTAGGAGCTCCTCTTCCTGTAGGCCATTGGGAACAGGATTGAAGGATGGAGCAGTGGGCAGAGGGCCTTGTGTCTACTGTAGCTCTGGTGAACCAGGCTGGGAGCAGTAAGTATGGCCCGTTTAGACAGAGGCTGGGGTAGAAAAGTTCCCTCCAGCCGTACCTTGGTGAGGGAGCTTAGGTCGTTCTTCTGAGGAGGGAGCAGGTGGCTCAGGTTATACACTGGGGAACAGCTGACTGCCCTAGATGGCTTTGGGTAGGCAGCATGGTACATGCCTGCACCATGCTGGGTGGATCCATGACCAGTGTTGGACAAAAGGACTAGCTCTAAACTTCAGGGAATTTCTGAACAGCACAGGTTAATGGTGGGTTTTAGGAAAGACAAAAAGGCTCTGGGGGCAGCAAAGGGAGTGTCTCTGAGTGTCCTTCCAGAAGGTGACATTCCAGTGCTGGTCGTCACTTCTGCCATGTCCCCTGCTGACTCATATTGGTTAAGTCGGTGGCCGTGTGTTGCATCCTTGGGGCCATCAGGAAGAGGCCAGATGGTGACACCTGAGCCCAACCATTTCTTGCCACCAGTCCTGAAAGTTCAGTGTCAGCCACCAGGTGTCTGAGTACTGCTTGCTTGAACTGTGTGCTGAGCCGGGGTTGCCTCCTTCTCATGCCTGGGGAAGAGAGGTGTTGCTGAGGGGCATGTGAAGTGAAAAGGCAGATACACCAAGCCCTGCTTTCCTCTGGCTCCTTCCAGGGGATCTGCCAGCAGAACCCAGCAAGGTGATGGCCTCATCCAGCCACCCAGATCTACTAGGAGGATGGGATGCCTGGGCTGAAACTGCTGTGCCTGGGTCGACCCCCACACCAGCCCTAGAAGGTATGCCCTCTGGCCCCAGTGTGACCTGGGCTTTTGAAATGGTACCAGCTATGGCCATGGAGTCTCCCCGTTCTTCTTTGAGAAGAGGAAGGGACAGGGCATGCTTTCAGGTTCCTGCATACCTTGTCAGCCTCAAGGTTGCCTGTGGTAGCTGCAGAGTTCCCATTGTTGATGGGAACACAGACAGTGTCAGGGCCCCAACCACTGCTGAGCGGGGGCAGTATCTGCTCCCCTATTCTTGCATGCTAGTCCTTTTTCTCTTCCAACATAATTCCTCACCTTTTGTGCAACTAGTTACCCTATTTGTTCACATTGCATCCTCATGTTTTCCTGTGTCCTGTGGCCATGCTGTACCTCGTGAAAGACAGGGTGGTCTCCTATGGATGGATGCCGCATGCCCTGTTGGGAACATGGGTTATAGGAAGTAGTTCACATTTGTAAACATCTGTCTGACTTTTTGTGTACCTGTAGTTCTTCATAGTTCTTGCTGTCATATTCTGATCCAGCACAGTCCTGTTTGCAAAGCCTTTGACACGTGTCCCATACTGAGTAATATTTTTTTAGCTTGTTTGCTCAGGACCAGGAATTCCTATCTTGAGTTTCTCACCAAAGCTACATTACAAATTTTGAAACATTTTATTGATTTAGTGGGTTCTTGTGTGTATGTGTGTGTGTATGTGTATGCATTTATTGCCTGCATGTCGGTAAGTGCACCTGTGTCGTGCAGTATCCGCAGAGGTCAGAAGAGGCTGTCGGATCCCCTGGGACTGGAGTTACGGGCAGTTGTTAGCTGTCATGTGGGTGCTGGGATTTGAACCCAGGCCTTCTGCAAGAACAGCCAGTGTTCTTAACCACTAAGCCATCTCTCTATCCCCATGTGTGTGTGTGTGTGTGTGTGTGTGTGTGTGTGGTGTGTGTGTCAGAAAGAGACAGATCAGGCACTTGTCACAGTGTACTTGTAGAGGGCAGAAGACAACTTGTAGGAATCAGTTCGCCCCTTCTACCATGGGCGTTCTGGGGATCAAACACAGGTTGTCAGGGTTGGTAGCAAGTACCTTTATGTGCTGAGCTACTTACCCCCCAGCAGGTGTTTTGTTTTGTTTGTTTGAGGGTGGGGTTTTTTTGTTTGTTTTGTTTTGTTTTTGATACAGGGTTTTACTGTATAGTCCCTGGCTGGCCTGGAACTTGCTATGTAGACCAGGCTGGTCTCTGAAGGCATGCCCCCACCATGCCCAGCTGCTTTCAATTCACATTTCTTCATTACAAATGAGGTTGACTATTATTTTGTATGCTTTTGGTTAAGCGTATTTATTTTCAGGATTATTTCATGTTCTTTATTCCTTTTTTACATTCAAAATTCCCTTTTTCTTGAGTTTTAAAATTTTTTGTATTACATTTCTGTATTCTGGGGGACACACATGTCTCAGCACACACATGGAGATCAGAGGACAACTTGGGAAACTCTCTCTCTACTGCTATGTGGGCCCCGGGAACCATGACACCTGCCACTCAAACTCAACATCATACTCACTAATCCATTTCACCAACCTAGTAGAAAGAAATGTATTACTACGATTGTATGTGTTGTATATGTAAGGGCATTGGCACCTGTGCACATGCCATGGCACACACAGAGGGCACAGAACAACTTTTAGGCATCAGTTTTCTCCTACCTTGTTGAGGCAAGGCTTCTCTCGTTTCTGCTGCACTAGCTGGCACAAAGCTTCCAGGTAATTCTGTCTTTGCCTCCCATCTCACCAGATGCCAGGATTACTGACAACCACATCCAACATTTTCATGCTGGTTCCAGGACTCAGTCTCAGGTCATCAGGTTTATACAGCAAGTAGTTTTACCTGCTGAGTCCTCACTGGCTCAGGAATTCTGTTTTCTTAATGTATGAGAGTTCTTAATATATGAACAGCTGTCATTTTTAATGACTACATAATATTTTGAGTGGCTGTGCACTAATTATTTCAAGATTTTATGCTTAGCATATTCTCAGATTTGCATTTTTATATCATATGTTGAAGAGATCATTCACATTTTAGATAGATTATAGCAAGTGGTACTATAGAGTCAGAACTATGTAGACATTTTTGGGTTCCTGGTAACAGTTTGTTCATTGATTTCCCAGAAGGAACACTGTGGGCACTGAGGGGAGCCACTCTGCCAAATGTGTTCTATGTGTTCTTCCCGCTGTCCTCAGGAAGTACAGAACCTTGAGTAGGACCTGTGGTATTCGAAAGGAGGAGTGAGGACTTAGGGAGAGTGTATTTCACTTTGTGTGGTGCAAGTCTAATGACCTTTGTCCTTTCTCCAGGTACCGTCTTCTCTCCTGGAGGTCAGCCAGCACCTCCTGGGCCCCAGCCTAGCCAAACCAAATCTGAGAGCCTAGACCCATTTGCTGACCTCGGTGACCTCAGCTCCAGCCTCCAAGGTAACAAGGAGCCAAATCTGTATGTCAGCAGGCTCATTCTCATCTGTCTCTACTGCCATGTCCAGAGACCCAGGGGGCTCATGTCTGCTCCTGTTCCAGGTGCCAGCAGACTGACAGGCTAAAATTGGAAGTTGCTAGAATTAATGCTACTGCATGGCCCTCATGGCAGTTCAGTGACTGTATCAGCTGCTCAGGGGTCATGGCATGTCAAGTGAGGGCAGCCTGGGAGTTAGTGGGGCTTGGCTGAGTCCTGGTTATCAGTCAAGATCAGTCACAACACTGAGTGCTGCTCCTTAGAGCATCCATGTCTGTCTTGGGCCTGGCTCACATCCTGTACCTCCAGTCTCTGCCCAGAAACCATCTCAGGTTCACTTTCTAAGATGTTTCCCTGGGGGTCCTTGGGTACTTTGTCAGCGTCTCCTCTTCGTGGCTTCAGGGAAGAAAGAGGGAAACGCCGTTTGTTTGCTCAGCTATCGGGAGAGTAGAGTTGTCAGGTTGTTGGTATGATCAGAATACTTAGTGCTGGTGATTTGGCTTACTCTGGCAATCTGCCTCAGGCAGTGTTGATGTCTCTTGATAAAGTATGACTGGCCCTGTGCTCAGCTTTCCACATAGCTCCACAATGGCTATCTGACATCCTCATCTCTAATTTCCTGACCTTTTGAATGTCTGGTCCCAGTGTTGGTCCCTAGACTGGCCTTTGTGTGTCCCTTCCCCTGTCTGACTACACTCTGCTCTTAGTAAGGCTGACTAGAGAGTTCCTCTGTTACCATAGTGTTACTGTCTGTGTGTGTGATTTTTTTTTTTTTTTTTTTTTTTTTTTTTTGTTAAGGTTTTTTTTTTTTACCCCTTCTCATCCTGTAATCCACTTTTTGAAATAACCTCGCTTTTA